TATACACACCCCCTACTAGGTAAAGAACCAGAGTTCCTCCATTTTGTCTTCTACCTCCATCTTGTGTCTTATGTAAGCTATTTCTTATAAAACATTTCTGTCCTCAGAAATGGCTAGGAGCAAAAGTAACAGGGTAGCCTTCTGGGTAGTAAACCCATCCCAAGGTCAGCCGATAAGAAAACTTGGCAAGCAGCAGGTAAGGTTCAAAAATAAAATTCCTGAGAAGTCCCTGGATATGATCCAATCAGGATTAAACCCATCACCCCACACTCTGCTAATGTAATTTTTCTGGGTTAAATAATGCCCTCTAGAAGGGCAGAGCACCTCCTCTTGCTGCTTTTGCACCCGTTGCTGTGGCAAGGTCCCTGCCAGCTTGTATTGTGCACACAGTAAACCTTACTTTGCATTTCAGTGAGTCTGTCTCCCTGATGATCTTTTGGGGTCCCCAAGGACTAGGCATAACAGTTGGGGGCTTGTCTGGGATCCCCAGAGACCTCCTATTGGGACCCCTGACTTTGAAGATTTATTCTGCTCTACCGCGGTAAATCTATCTGTGCTTGAAGTCTTGCCTGTCTTTCTTCCGTTTTTGTCAGCACTGATCTCGGGATATGAATCTAAATCTGAACAGGTCAATTTGTCCTGACAGACACACTAGACAGCTGACCTGGAGGAATCAGGAGATGTCCCCTTTCCTTGTCTGAGACCATCCTGTCAGGGACCCAGTCAGGCCCCATTTGTAACTCTGAATCTGAAGTCTCTGGTAATCAGGTAGCCTTACTTGAATGCCTCCCATCCCTCCTGTGTGTTTTTTGATCTTGTAGAGGCCGAGTTTTCAGACTCCCAATAAATCAGACCATCTGGTACCCAACAGTGTCTGTTTTAGGCCCTTTGTCTAACTGCTATGTTTGTTGGTCTTGTGTGTCTCTGTTGACAACTGACTTGACTGTACAGGCTTTTCCTTCCACGTAATCTGAATGCACCCCCTTCACCTTTGCAGGTTCCCCCTTAACACCCCAGTGCTGCAGGCCACCCTGCCGCCTCCCATGCTGATGAATGGGTTCCCTCAGCCTGCTCTGGGGCTGTGGGCCTCGATTTCTGGCCAAACACGGCCAAGGTTTGGCTCTGCGGGCCAAGCACAATGAGGGGAAGTCACTGGCTATAGGTGTTAAGCTGCAGTGGCCATGCTGTAACACTATAACCAGACTTCTCTTCACCATGGCTGTCTTGGTCATTCAGATCCAATAGGTTATAAATATCTGTCATCATTTAGAGGGGCTGATTACAAATTACTATTGGTTAGGGTATGGGAAAAAACTACGGTTAGTCTCAGATGTTTCATGCTGGTACAAGATTTTAGAACTTGTCCAGGGCAATGTTAGCCCCTATAATCCCCATCTTGTTTCTGTTTGGCCCTGGGACCTTTTCCTTGCCTTTGCAGGAGACAGCATTAACAGAGGGATACAAAGTTGTTCTGTTTTTACCCTCAGAATGACTCTTTAATAGCTTCAATTAAAAATCATTATTTTTTTAAAGGCTAAACTTGACAGAATGTAAAGTTTTAGTCTTATAAAAGCTGCTATCTTATTATAGACCATTAGGAAAAAGAAGTTAGTTAGTCATCCTTAAAGTACTAATATAATTAATTACAGGAATAAGCCTTATTTAGTTCCCTGTATATGTTTTCAAAGTAAAACTTAAAACAAGTGACTAGAAACAAAGTTTGTCCAATCAGATATACCCAGGCAGTCCTCATACTTCAGAGATCTGCAAAATACGACATTTAAAATAATGATTAAAAAGTTTATATTAGACAGAGACTCGGCAATCCTAGCAGTAACCGAAGGTCTCAAAAGAAGATTATGAGACACCATGATGTTTCCACCTGAATTATGATGATGCTGGCCACTGGGCGAGATGCCCCAGTGCAACACCTGCTGCCAGGACTGGTCCAGACTGTGGACAAACAGCAGGATGTTGGAGAATTGATTGCACCACTTTTGCCTAGACAAAATAAGATCAGTCTTTTCCATGTCTCTCTTCTACAGGGGAAAAAAATCACCTTATGGGTCTGGCTAAGGCTATAAGATTGCTGTTCTGATTCTTCTGCCTTCAATGCCATGGAGACCTGGGTATGGCTAACTGTATATGACTTTGGTCCCTGTCATTTTTAATAGATTCGGGAGCTGCTTGATCTCTAATCAGGTATAGTTTATCCTTCTGGGATCTCTGATAACATTTATGGCTAGGCCAGCTATAATGTTTAGCAGCAGCGGGCATCCAGATCCTTTCACAGAGCTATAGCCAGATTGTCAGCTCATTTTATAGATATAAAAATCAAGCCTTGCTTTTTCTAAAGCTACTAGGTCTCTTGATTAAACAAATGTTTTAAGATATATGAAGGTCTAAGAATATAACAGCTCATAAGCTTTGAGGGTCTAAAAATATATTAACATGTAAACACAGGTTAAGATATAGAAAATGTTTCTGATTTCTTTCATCTTCTAAGGTATAGTTCTGATAAACTGACAGAGCAATGACTACTTACAGTTTGGTCACAAGTTTAAGACTTTAGATTTATTCTGGCTGCCCATCTAAATATGAACTTAAAGGTGTTTCTCTTCAGGTCAAAGATACTTAGAAGTCAAGTCAGGAACCCATGGTATGGTTCACTATAGTTACTAGAACCTAGAGGAATGGAGAACCAAAGTTCCTCCATTTTGTCCTCCACATCTATCTATCATGTGTCTTATGTGAGCTATTTCCCATAAAGCATTCCAGTCCTCAGAAATGACTAGGGGCAAAAGTAACAGGGTAGCCTTCTGGAAAGTACAGACAACTGCAGAATGTCCCCATCCGAAGGTCAGCCGATAAGAAAACTTGACAAGCAACAGGCAAAGTTCAAAAATAAAATTCCTGAGAAGTCCCTAGACACAAGCCAGTCAGAATTGAACCGAACACTCCACACCCTGATAATGTAACTTTTCTGATTTTTGCCTTTATGTAATGCCCTCTAGAAGAAGGTGTGTCCTCTTGCTGCTGTTGCACCAGTTGCTGTGATGAGGTCCCTTCCAGCTTGTATTGTGCACACAATCAACCTCGCTTTTGCATTGCAGTGAGTCTGTCTCCCTCGTGATCTTTTGGGGTCCCCACGGACTGGGCATAACTCTCAATTTTCCTGAAAAGATGAAACAGAAAAAAGGTGTTCTTGCTGCTTCAAAGAACAAAATAAGTCAAGGATTTTAACAATTTCATAAGTGCATATAATGTATTTTCATTACTCTATTCATCACGCCCTCTCTAAAATCCCTCCTAATCTCATCTCTTGCCTGTCCATAGCAACCTTTCTCAGGTTCATGGCTTCTTACTTTCTTTTAACAATTTTATTTTTGAAATGATGACATAAACACAGCAGTTCTCCTTTTCCCCTCCTCCCTTCAATCCCTCCCACAAACACTTCCATACTGACGTTCCAATTCAAGGCCTCTTTACCCATTTACTGTTGCTGCATGCACATATGTATGTAAATTTATTTTCCTAAATATAACCTGTGCTCCATCTGTATAATGTTACCTGTGTATATGTTCTCAGAGCTGACTGGTTTTGATCCATTTAGTTCAATCAGGGCCATCTGTGTGACCAGTAGATGGGATTATTCACTGGCATGTGTACAAATGAAGACAATGCTTTTCTTCCTCCGTGAATCGCTCAGTAGCAAACGGGTTAGCAGTTAGGACTGGGACCCCAAGAGCCCCTCCTCTACCCGTGCCTAACTGTTAAAGGGCCCATTCTTGCACTGAGGTGGTGCAAGCATCTGCAGCTGCTGTGCATTTGTGGTATGTTTCCCATTATGCCCGTGGACCACCTACCCACATCAGAATTACCGAGGGCCTTGCTAACAGTCAGTGTTCAAAAACTGGTTCCAAACCCATGAACACTACGTGAGCGTAGGTCAGAGAGCTGATCTGCGGATGATCCTCATCTACACAGCTGAGTTCATATCCATGACTCCTGGGTGATTACGTCACTCTACTTCCAGGGAAGCACACTCTGGAGATAAGCAGTTTGGCTTCTTCCTCTAAATGTCCCACCACCCTGCTCCTGGCATTCAGCAATACTAGGTACTTCGTGGTTAGGTTTATGAACAGGACAGAGCCTTGTAGTTTTATAAGGAGAGAGTTCAGAGATCAGTCAGGAACAAACATATAAACATAATAGAAACCAGGCTGCATTGTATCAGTGTTTGATCAGAGTCAGAAAGTTGCAAAATCCCCAAAGATACCAAAGAAATATTACTTCCTTATTTCATTGTAAAAAGATAACTGACTTTAAAGTGCTTCAAGCTATTTTCATCTGAAGCACTCAAGAATGATAAATGTGGAGTAGAAGTGGCCAGCCAGACCGCAACAAGTTCTAATCAGCCAGACTCCCCCTGATATTAAGACGTCTGTTTCAGCACGTTGTTGAGCCTATCTTGTGAGAGCAGATATTCCCACAATTGTGGTCATTTTGATGAACCAGACAAGGAAACAGTATTATCGAGTCAAACAAATCGCTGTTTCCAGGGATGGACTAGAACTTTCACATATGAGATTTTTCTCCTGTTGGCTAGAGTTTTCCACAAACTCAGCATAGACTACTGTGGCATGGGCCCTGACCCTGAGTATCCACAAGTTTACCCATATATGCAGACATGGGAACAGATACACGGATGTATTATCTGGGGGTGGGTTAAAAAAGGAGAGGATAGGTGGATGGCAGGAGGTCTACAAAGGTACAAGAACATAAATTCTGAAACTCGTTTAAGTGATTTGTTCTTATGTGTTCTGTTTCTCTTCTAGAAGTGTTTGAAGTCAAAGGCATTAGGCCTCTCTGAGGAAGTGACAGTAACAACCAAAACACAGACGGAGTTGACCACTGTCCCCACAGATCTTGGCATTCCAAAGGAAATGTATAAACTAACAGCTCTGTTCTCTAAGACTTCAACTGCTTCAACATCACCCCATGGCCTGGTTCCTTCGTGCTGAACATCCATGGAAAGGAATAAGGAATAATGGTTTGAGAATTTGAGAAGGTACCCCAAGTGCCTCTCATTTCAGTTTTAGAGAAAAGGGTCACGGGTATGAGGGCAGATGGAGACCTTACTAGGCAGTCGTGGAGCTGAAGCCAAACACACCGAAAAGAGTTGGCCAAGGCAAAGAAAAGGCGCCAAAACTGTGTGGGTGGGAGCCCTGAGGTTTAAGGGCCGAGAAAGGAGACCAAGACAGGAGGCTGATATCCTCACCTAGCCTGGCCTCGGGCTGCTCCTAGTCTGTGACTCGCTCAGGCCACACCCAGTGCCTACACCGCCTGCGGTTTTTTTGAGCAGAGCTGGAGTTTTCCTTTGAGAACTGGAGCAACGAGGACGTATGAATGACCCGCTCTCCGGGATCGAGCCCGAGCGGGCCGTGTGCTCTCCGCGCGGGGTCGGGGGTGGGCCACCCGTGGATACCGGCGCTCCGGATCCCGCGCTGTCGAAGACCGACAGGGACCTCTCAGCGGCAGGTGGGGACATGAGATCGCGGACGCGAGAGAATTTGAATTGCCAGTCGTCCTGGGTCAGAGAAAAAGTGCTCTTTCTTCTGAACCCCGAGAGGTGGTTGGGAACCCAAGCGGACGCTGCTTGCGCAGAGCTGCTGGATAGCGAGGACTTCCGTCCGAGGATTGACGACCACCGCGATTCGGAACGGGAACCGAAGCTTTCCCGCAGGCGCATTGCCACGGTCCCCGGAGCCCAGCCTCGGAACCCAGCAGCCACCCCCAGGTCCGTGCTGGTGCGGGTCGTGGATTACCATGAGACGCAGGAGGTGCAGCGGACTGAGTGGACCAAGGGTCAGATGACTACGAGGACCAAGGAGCGCTCTGTAACCGCCGTCACCTTTCGCACCCAGAGTGACTGACATCGTTTGTGCGGCACTGGGGCGAGAGCAGAACCTGGATGTACCCCGCGTTGCTACGAGAGGACAATTCGTCGCCAAAGATCCGAACCCGAGAAATGTTCCAGGGCTAGGGATGCGAGGAAACGCTTGAAGAACCAACTCTCAGCAGTTTTAGACTTCCTCTGTGGCGTCAGTGTCTGACAGTCCTTTAAGAGAATAAAAGGTATTTTTACATTGGTGGAACGTGGGAGTTCGAAAGAGCAAAACCTTAGTCAATTCGCTTGGCGTTTTTGGAAACAACTCATATTGCTTGTCTGCATCTCTTTCCTGTTAAGCACCCAAAAGCACAAGTGATGTTTGCGGTCTGATCTCTAGGATGTTGTGGTGTGTGGGGCGGGTGCAGAGAGACTTGCTTCGAAAGCCTTTAAGAACATTGTTTTGTTTTTTTTTTTTTTAATATATAGAAAAAAAATAAAACGAATCAGGAAGTGAAGCAAAATGTTTCCAGGTACTCTATACACTGGTATGCAATTTCCTCTCTGGTCCTTCGTATTTCCGTCTTGAGGAGAAAAGGAGCAAGGGAAAGAAAGATTGGGGTGGGAGGGTGTTTTTTCTGTGTGGAGGGGATTGGCCTGAGAACAGGCCTTTATCCCGGAGGGCATCTAACCCAATTTACTGTTTAATAAGTGAGGTAGACATTCTGGATGCAGTATGTCATAAACGACTGTATGCTTTATTCTTTTTGGTTTGTTTGTTTTTTTTATTAAATCTATTTATTTATTTTACATCTCAACCAGTTTCCCCTCCCTCCTTAACTCCCATTCCCCACTCCACCCCCAATCTGCTCCTCCGCTTTTTCTGTTCAGAAAGAAACATGCCCTATTCTTACCCAGACACCCACACTTTTTAATTCCTAAGATCTGTAGTTAGGACTGAACTGACAAGAACTCTGCTGGGTTTAAGTTGTATTATCTTCAATGAGATGTATGTGCCTGTGAGTGTTGGTAGGTGCCTGGAGGCCAGAGCTCCTTGCAGCTGGAGCTACAGGAAACTGGGAATTGGGGAAACAAGTGTTTGGTATCAAACTCGGTCCTCTGCAAGAGCAGTCTGCTCTCTTGACCACTGAGCCCTCTCTCCAAACTCTACCCTGCGTTTAAAATGATCGAAGGCTAACACTTGGTTTTTTAAGTGGATTCCCTTTGTTATTAGACACCAGCATTACAAAAAAAACTTCATTATCTTATTTATGTGAGTGTTTTGCTTGTACGTCCACGTGTGCACTGCTAGTGTGCCCACTGCTCTCGGAACTCAGCATTGGATCCCCTGGAATTAGAGTTAGGGATGGTTGTGAACCATGGTGTGGGTGCTGGGTATTGAACCTGGGTCCTTTGCAAGAGCAGCAAGTACTTGTGACCAGGGAACCATCTCTCCAATCCCACGTCATTATTAACTCTTTAGTACTGGGATCTAGTTTGGAACGCTGAGGAGCAAAACAAAGCTCTTAGAGAGAGGTGAGGGCTCAACTGGCCCCTATGGGAGGGGTATTTGGTAACAGACAGGTAACAAAGGAGAGGGGTTCTGCTTTGGGGGTGAAGCTGGAAGAGTTGCTCTTACCTAGTCCTTTCATCTGTCTTTAGTCCCAGCTTGATTTGCCTACAAGCAATCATCTGTTCCACCTTTTATCTTCTGTCTGGCCAGACAGCATCCTTCTTTAAACAGAAGAGCTAAGTTTGCCCTAGAGGTCAATAGCTTGTGTAGCTCATGAGCAAGTGTCTTCATGTGCTTACTAAGTAGACAAGAAATGTGGTCATCTCCCTCCTAAATATTCATGGATGACGATTACTGCATCTTACTTCTAGAGATTCAAATATGCCCAAACAGAAGAATTTGAATTCTAGGCCAGTTCGTGCTGCACATGGAGACCCTGTCTCAAAAGTGGATCCATCTGAGGGTACCATGGGTTTCTAACACAGATTTAGGAAAAGTATGAGAGTCGTTTTTATCCCTGCATCCTGCAAGACCAGCCTGCTGGAGATTCACCACTGGCAGTTCTCAGGCCTGAAAGAACTTCCCTGAGGAAGGACATTAGTGCTTGAACTCATCCACAGATCTATAGAGTAGTTGAAAATGTCATGTTGATCTCCCAATAACTTCTCCTTTTGCAGAAATTCCTGCTGATCTCTTTGTAAGGTTAATCATGACTGGCAAGTGGCCTCTCTGCCCTTATGAGATTGGTTCTACGTGATTGAGCAGTGAATAGAGACAAGACAAACAAATATTTTTTGCAATGTCCCAAAAGAGTAGCATCCTTCAGCTATCAGAAGGCAGGCTCTGGAGTTTTGTGGCCCATACCAACCCTTGGTTAACTAGTAACCTTGGGCAAGGTGCCTAATCTTTATGTCTTTACTTGTTAAGTGGGGAGAGGAAATGCTGAGCTTTGGGGGTGGGATTTAGTTAAGATACTTAGAATACGGCCTGACATGTAATAACTGCTCAGCACTGACTCCTAGGATTCCTAGTGTGGTCATCATTCAACCCATTTTTCTCCTAACCAGGATTCAGCTTTTTATTCAATTATGTAGTGTAGACATCAAAAACAAAACAAGCAACAACAAAACAAATCATAAAAATGAACTAGAGGTTTTTAGCTTTTTCTATCTTTAATGGATCTGCACACCCGTTTCCCAAATTCGTTAGAAATGATTTCTACACCATGTGGGGGTCCTCAGCTAAGACTAGAAGAAGGACCACAGTCACTATGCTGAATGACTAGAGGGGCAGAAAGCTTGCATTGCCTTCCTGGCTGTTGAAGCTTAGACTGGGTCTTGTTATGTAGTCTTGGTTGGCCTGGGACTCTATATATATCAGACAGGCCTCGGATCTGCCTGCCTTCCAAGTGCTGGGATTAAAGGCATGCGGAATCACGCCCCATATTGAAAAATAATTTTAAAACTACTTTTCTACCTGGCCCCTCCTCCCAGTTAGCTTTCTGCAAAATGTTTACAGGTTTTAAATAGATATCACATTGAAAGGGAAAAGTAGTTGCTGAACTCTCTTGGTTTGCCTTACAGGTGAAGAACAAGAATACTTTCCATTTCACAAGAGACTTTGGAAGAGCATCCGAACTTGTCCTCAGTACCAAGGAATGTCTCAGGATGACCAGGTCTCGGCATCTCTCAGGATGACTGGGTCGTGGCTCTTTGACTTAACCTCTACCTCACAGAAAACTGAGTTCGTCTGAAATTGTCTTTGTTGGATAAACTGCACCAAAGACTCCCAGAGGCCCATCTGAACACAATAGACTGGGACAAATGTCAGAGTAACATAACCGCCATGATCAGGCCAGTGCCTACCTCTGTTGTTGTTTTTTTTTTTAATTAATATATATTTTTATTTTGAGACAGTGTCTAGCTTACTTTGGACTTGATGTCTAGCCTGTGATGACTGAACTGGAGATCTTCCTCAGCCTCCCACATCATGGGATGACAGTGTGTTCCAGATTCTCGGACTGCCACCTCTCTTTAATCTCCTTTTCCATACCTATCATTATACATGCTATCCGTTGTATTTGACTTGGTTGTTGTATTGAGGATCCTTACCAGGTCTTGATATTAAAACTCACTGTGATTCTTTTTTTTCCTAAAATTTTTAAATTTTAAATTTTTTGTTTATGAGTGTTTACCTGCATGTGTATATGTTTATTGTGTCTACCAGCTGCCCACAGAGAGCAAAAGAAGGTGTTAGATTCCCTAACACTGGAGTATAGGTGGTTGTAAGCCTTCGTGCAGGTAATCGAAACTTAACCCAGAAAGAGTTCTTAACTGCTGAGACATTTGTTCAGGACTGAAAATGACCCTTAA